ATATAACAAATGCAACAATTGTATATCTCTAGTGTAAAGCTTTGCCTTAACGTTAAAAGTTCTTCTGACTTATGACCTCTTTTTAACCAGAGACCCAATCCGACTTCCCCGGAGTAGTACTATATTTGTAAACAGACACTTCACGTAGTTTTATTCTACTGAGTTCATCTGAATTTGGAAAGTAAACAATGCCAATCTTTTAGGAGGAGGTAAGCCAAATCCCACTTTTTGTAAAAAATTTTAGAAGACCGACAGGAGGGCGAGAAAAAGAAAGAGAAGAGTCACCAAACCTAAAAGAAAGAGTGCGGCTTTAGAAAAGAAAAAGTTTTGTTGTTTCCTCTGTGTTCTTCTTTGAAGTAATGACCTAGAAACTTTGTCGATGAAGTTGAGCTTTTGCCTACCAAGATTTTATATACAAGGGTGCCACTTGCCAGTTATTTTGTATAGTAACACTCTTGGCTTGCATGCCAAATATCTCTTTAGTGGAGTCCCGAAAAGCAAATAATGTTGACCTCTAGACAAACCACAACATAGGCCATGACTTTCCAACAAAAAAAAAAATTTGGGTTTCTATTAGTAAGAAAATTTGGTTTTAATGATTGTCAGAAAGAGTTTTGATTTGATATTTTTTTAGCAATTAAATTGGTAGTTTTATAAATTCAATAAATTTTTATTGTCATATATACAAAAATATATATACAAAAAATAATTTATATTTACACTACATATATAGAGAGCACTATTATATATGCAAATTCAAATCTATGTATATTGTATCTACTATACAAACCCAATTTACATCATTAGTTCTTACTATTTTTTACTTAAATCTTGCTAAGCAAGTTTAAAATCTTTAAACCCTCTTTATTAGTTTTATATATATTTAGAAGTTTTATTGTTAGCTTGTACTATCTATACTAGTTTGTATTTTTAAATATTATACAAATACTTCTAAAAGCTTCTAGTATATAAACTACATTAATGTAATTAGTATTACAAATAATAAAATCTAACTTATTGATAAAAATCTATTATTATAATACAAGTATTTTTGTCTAAATCATTGCTAGTGAGATTTAAACTTGATATAGCTTGGGAGTAACGACTATACTACTACTATACTAAGTTACTACACCCTTGAAAGAATCAAAATATAATAAGATTCATTATAGTATATTATAATATAAAGCAAATCAGGTATTTTAATATAGATAAATAATTCGATATATCTAGATTTTTTAGCTATATCTTGTTAAACAGCATTTAGAATGAAATTATATTAGTACAATTTAAATCATATTAAAACAATTCAAATTAGGTAAATATTATAATTTTTAAGTTAATACAAATAAATAGTATATAGTAGATGAAATATATAATGTTATATAATATAATATAAAAACTAATATATATCTGGCCTTTTTATAATATTAGTATGATTATGTTAAATATGTAATATAAAATATAAGAGGGATGGTTTCTGTTCAACTTTTTTAATATTTGCTATGCTGATTTTTGCAAAGCCCTTTTTTGGTGTAAATAATGATTTCATTTTTCTAATTATAGCAATAATATCGAGATAGTATCATGTTTCTAGGTATATGTCATACAAATTATACTGAGGTGGGAATACAGCGTGACTGACTATATTAAATTGCGGTAGTTAAAAATACAGTATGCTGTGATTGTGTGAAAAAATAAAGCTACTAGTACAAAAGAATTACATTGATATATCATGGGAAAATTTCAAACAAAATCTTAGTTATGATATAATACTTTTCTTAAATACATGAATTATTCCTTAATCATATCAATGTTTCAGGTGAAACTCAAATTTGTAGATCAAATTAGGCAAAACTAATTTGGAGGATTTCGGACTTATAGCGCAAAACTATAATTTCTCTAGGCAAAACGTTTCAGATTTGAAAATTAGTTTCAGCCAAAACACTGAATTATAGAAATCACGATAATTCGATGTAAACTAACTCATCCACATACTATGGTCACTACAATAAAGTTCTATTTCAGTTTTTTACAATAACTCAATATAAATTAGCATAATTTCAATTTTAATTTAGACTGAATTACATAGAAGTTTAGATAATTAAATACAAATTGATTCAACCTTAACCAATATAAATGTCACTGAAAGAGCAAGTTCCATAACAGAATTTTTACAGTAACTCACAATAGTAATTTGAATACAAACCAACGTAACCACATAATGGAATAGCAAGTAAGTTCTGTAACAAAATTTTGCAATAATCGGCAATTGTGATAATTTCACAAAAAGCTAAACTAATTCAATCTTAACAACTTAGATATCGAAGAAATTCATAATAATAATGTTGGATATTAGTGTATTGATCCTTGAGAGTAATAACGGAAATACATGACTGATACTGATCGGCTGCGTAAGCGGCCAATCAGTATAAGCCATGTATTTCCGTTATTACTCACAAGGATCAATACACTAATACAAGTGAACCAAAATATTAAATAATCAAATATCTTATCTTTTTTCTTTAAAACATAATAGCACTATTGTAAATTATGAAATCGAGACATTTTACTTAATAAAATTTTTGGGGTAAAAGTGAGCAATTTGTTCTAGTATGCTGAGGTACATTTTATAAATTATTCCACGTTACTGCATAATGTTATCGTTATTGGGCTTTACGGGTAGGGCCGAACACTTAAATAGGCGTGACCCGACCCGCAAAATTGCGGGTTAAATCCGGCCCGTTCCGCACCCTAATAAAGGCTTATTAACTGACTAACTTGCTATCAAGAATACATTGCAATAATAGATAAACTTGAAATTCAGTTATTTCTGTATTTATGAATCAAAATCGTCATAAAGAATGAATAAGAAAAAAATCCTTGTAAGAATAAATAAGCGAAATAAAAAGATTATGCATTTAAATATTTAATAATTTCTTATATGTAATTTATTTTAATCGTTGCTATGTATTAAACTTATAATTAATTTTACCGTAAAATCTCGAAATAACGCGCAGGGGTGAAATTACAATTTTCGGCCCGAATTCGGGCCAAGATTCGAAATAACGCTCATGCCCACTATTTCGAGATTTTACGGTATTTACTTTAAATTTATTGATTACACATTCATTATGAGTATCAATTATAGAATTAAATTTCATATCGATTTGGAACATATTGGAATTCCATTTAATCTAAATGGATTCTAAACCCACTATAATTCTGTTATAAACGTATGACATAATCACAATATTTTCGTTATTATTTTTTAAAAAAATTAAAATAAATAAATAAAAGTAAAATGCATAAAATTAATTAAAATCTATATAATTTCATAATTTATGAATATAAGCGTTTCATTAGCTATTAATAATTTAATACCATACATAATTTATTTTACTTTCCAAAATATTTTGCAGCTTGTATCCATAATTGGCTTGGATCTCTAGCACTCCGTTCATCATAGTACAATTGATAATCTGCTGGTCTAAAAGCATAATCCATAACTTCATTTGGATTCTTAAGACTGTAGGCTTCAGCTAGAATAAAAGACAACGTTAAATTTGCAGGAATAGATAATTTAGAAATTAAAGAACTATCTAGATCCCTAAGTTGTTCAAGTAAAAATAGAATGTCGTCAGAAGAATATGCATCTCCAACAGCACTTTGAGCAAAAGAAAATCGAGTATTCGAAAATCCACCAACGGCTATGGTTGGAACATTAATTTTTGCTAATCTTTGAGTTATAAGCGCACATGCTGATTGACATAATCCATTTGTTAAAATTATAATATCTTTCTCGGTCCAAGGAAGTTTTGGAGGTGTTAGAAGTTTCAAAGTCCCACTATAAAGTGTTGTATCATTAATAAATGCTTTTGAAGTGTATTTAACATGAACACCACCACGAGTATATACATTATTTCCAATAAAGTCGTTAACGCTATCAAATGAAGAGTTTGTCTTTGCAGAAATAAATGACCTATAATCAAATTCACTATCAATTTTAAGCTTTGAAATTTCTTCTATAGTCGGAATAGAAAGATCATTATTAGCCTCAGAAAATTTTGTATGTTTGGAAATAAGAGTTTATTTATATAGTGTGCAACAAAAATTAGGCCACCATTGCTTAAATCCAAAATGATCTGGTAAGAAATTTTTAAATAAAATATTTTTAATATCTTATAATAACAATTTTATGAATCAGAAGCTTCAATATATTTTTTTTAAATATATATAATTTATAGTTTGTTTACCTTTTTTATACCTTTGTCAGCAAGTAATTTAAATCCAATGGCTACATTAGTCAGGAAACGATATTCAAGGTCAGGGTCACTATTTAAATTAGATTCAGTTGAAATCAAGACCACGCCTAAGTCCTGTAATATATAAAATCTGGCAATGTATGCATCAAAAATTAAAGTTGCATTTCCGACTGAAGCTCCATTAATATATGGAGATTTATATTGCACACTGTTAATATTAACTTGCCATTCTCGAGTTATTTTTGAAGTTTTACCATTGCAATTAAATGTGTAAGAAGTACTTGGATTTTTGGCAATTGATTTCTAATTGTGAATAATTGTCCTGCAATATAAAAATCACCTTTTCCAAAAGCAAGTGATGCAAGGGCTGAATTAAATCTAGCATTCAAATCTCTTGCAAAAGACGTGTGATTTCTAGCAAATTCAGTAATTACTTCAATCGCTGGTTTGTCATCTATATCTATAACTTGACAATCGATGTTGCTAGGGTCTTTTATGTCATTAAAATCATTAATTTGCTAATATAATAGGTTAATTAATATATATATTATTTGGACTTATGATATATTTAATCATTTACCTGCGAGCCATTTTTCCTAATCACAGAATACATGGAAAGTTCCTGATGAAAGCTGTACTTGTGATAATCTTTAGAGTAGAGCCTGCGATAATATATGAAATTTAATATTTATATTTTTTTTACAGTTTATTATTTTTAGTAATCGAATAATTTACGAAGTGTGTCCATCTCTCAATTCTTGAATAAGATCTGTAACATCGTACTAATATAGCACAGTACATAAATCATAAGTAATTATGTATATTAATTATATACGATATATTTTAAAATTGGATATTTACAATAAATTGAAATTCGTGCGAATAATTATTCTTTAACACAAAATCTAATTCAGATATTAGGTCAATAGGTCTTACAGTAAATCCTGGATTTGGTTCTTCTTTTGCTTGATCTAGTAACGCATAGAATCCTTTAAGGTTTTCTTTCACTGTTTCTATTATCTAATATATAATTTAATTAATATTATTGTCACGGTGTTTCTTGGAACTCCCGTGTTCTGGTGGGTCTTTACTAATAATATTCACTCGCTTGGCTAATATCTTCGAAGACCGTGTATCGTACAGGTCCTTCCACCGATTTTGTATACACACAGGTAATAGTTTATTCACTAAGAACGAAAGTTATTATTCACAAAGTTCGAATATGAAAAGCTTGAAACTACAGAAGCTAGGTACGTTCCCTTTCGGGATCGATACCTTATATTAATTACTAATCGCTATTTGCGTCACTGATTATTACATATTATCTCATCGCTCACGCAATCAATGTTTTAAACTTTTAATTATTTCCCATGTATACCCGAATCACGCCATTCATGCAAATCGGGATCGTGACCCGATCATGATCCCTCCCTGACCTTGCGCTACGAATATCCGGGGCACCAACGTCGACCACGACAATTATCTATTAAATTTACGTAATATTTTTATTTGCCCGAAATTAGCAATACCTGAATTGCCTTTGTTTTATTGTACGGTATTAATTCATAACAAGCTTATACATCAGAATAATTAAGATACTCTTTGTTGGAATAAGGTGAATTAACGTATCTATCAAGCTTATGACATATATTGGTATTTTCGTCATTTTCTTTACGTGGAATCCACTGTGTATGAATAATATTAGTAAAAGCAATAAATATGAATATTATAAAATAGGCCTTTTTCATTTTGAAATATGAAAATTTAAATTTCTATCGTGCTCAGTTGCTGTCTATTCCATTTTATAGGTTTATAATTGTTAATAATGCTATTCGAGTTCTAAAAAACGAATTTTATCCCCTTTTATGTCATTATCCGTTTTCTTTATTTGTCTATTTTTGTTGTTACACGTATTTTATTATGCTGAATGCGAATCATATTAAGATGGTAGATGAACTTATTACAGTATTATTAAGAACAAAATTAATTTCTTTGAATCTGAATTTATATCTAATAATACACGATGTTACGATTGATTTGTGCAAGATGATCTTGTACTTTTTGGGAAAGTTAGTTGGGTTCCCAATATAATTATCAATATTTAGTCTAAGTCCGATGGATTCACATTCGGAAAGTAGGTAGTTTCATGAGAGGATGGGTGCACTATATTTTAATAATTAACATAATTTATATTTCAGCCCAAGGATAGAGATTAGTATATACCGTTAATAAAAATGCTTAAAAACGTATAACAACTAATTATGACTAATTTATAGTGACAGATTGATTTCGAAACAAATAAATTTCGGTTTTTTTTCTAATAATGAGCAGCAATGAAAATTTTATTGCTTTCATTTTTCAATATTTTTCAAACCGTTAAAACATATAGAAATATTAATATAAATGATCCTTTAATTAATAAAGGTTTTAATGTTCTGCCTGTAATTATTAACATATTAGATTGGCCAATTTTAGGTTTTGTAATTTATTCATTTAGATTTGTTGATTTCGTTCACTTATTTTAAATATCTAAAAAAGAACTGTCAATATGTCGAATTATGGTATTGTAATTTACACAGATCTGTATGGTGTCGGGACCAGATTCGTATGAAAAACCTCATTTTAAAATCTGCTCCATGTTGATTCGGTGTCATATATTAATGTATTCGGTTTAGAAATTATCGTTATAGCATATTATTATGGTATATATTGTTTTTTAAAATAAGCATTTTACACCCTTTACCATACTATTTGGGTCATTCATATTATTATACTGATCTTGTGTAATCCAATTTTTATCAGTGCTGGTCGATGACCATTCGACTCATCTTGGCATGACGAATCGAACGCGCAGAAGCTACGGACAGTTCTTAGGGACAGTTCAGTTAAAACCGCAGAAGCTACGGACAATTCTTAGGACAGTTCAGTGGCCAGAATTAGGATTAGGATTAGGGTTAGGGTAGGTGGATTTAGTTAATTTTAGTCAGCATGCACTGTCCGTAAGAACTGTCCGTAGACTCGGCGAATCGAATGGTACCAATATCACGTGATTCAACCCACTAGATCACGAGATATTGCCGTCTGAATTTGATTCGAATTTGATTGGTCAGATGTCCGAAATTGGTATATACAAAAAAAATCGAATAAAAATTTTTTTGAAAAATTGTCTAAATGGGCCTTTTAAATTTAATTTCTATTTTATTTAAATGTT